AGCAGAATCCATTTGATTTTTTTGAGCTTCTGGTATTACCACAATACCATTGCTATCTAATTTCGCAATTGTGAGCATTAGATCATTTAATGATTTTTGACAAAATTTATCTAAACTTTTCTCTGTTTCATCTGTTTTGCCAGGTGGCACAGGACTGGGTGTTTTAGGTACTGACGAACTTACTGCATGTCCCACAGATACTGCATTTTGAGATTGTGGTGGCATATCTGAATTAGTAGTCACACTGGTATTGGTGTACTTTTGATTATTTGGTTGTTGATTTTTTAATGTTATCTTGTATGTGTCATTAACAGGAACTGTCATAAGTGGTGCAGATTGATGTCGAGATCCATAAAATGGAAGACATACATTAACATTTTGAGGAATATGCCATCGTGCTGCGGGTTGCTGCATTGTGTTATAATTTATATGTTGAGTTGATGGAGAAGGGGGATTACATTGCTGTAATCGTATACCTGATACTACAGGTGTATTTGTTGGTTGGTATGTATGTGGTGGTACAGGTCTCTGAGAATTTCCAGCAGGATATCGATATGGTAACAAACGATATGGTACATTATTAATAGAAGGTCGAAATGGAGGAGGATTATGTGCTAAAAGACCACGTAGACTTGTATTTTGACCAAGTTGCTCTATATGCACTTGTTGATGTGGATGTGTAGATGATGTAACTTGTTGATGACAACCACTTAATGGACGTTGTGGCATCATGAGTGGTTGTTGCAATCTGCTATTATAAGGATGTTGTACTTGTGGAGATGAACGTGGAGGCATATTGTGCGCAGAGAAATGTTGCATGTAATTTTGAGCTGGTGCTTGCTGTTGTTGAGTTGTTAGATGAAGAGGAACTTGTTGATAAGAATTTTGTTGTATATTGTTGGACTGCTGTGTTACAATAGGAAGAGGGGCACTAATAACTGGATTTTCCATAGGTGTATTTATAGAAGTACTTGTTTGCTTCTGTTCAGACTGCTGCTCGTGAAATGGTGCACATGGTGTACCTGAACTAGCAGATGGAGACATTGAAGGATATACTCTTCCATCTACAACTATTGCTCCAATAGATGAAACAACTACAATTTATAAAAACATTATGTAACATTTGATATTATATTTAATTAATATATTTATATCAAATATTACTAACTTTACCTTTTATTAAATCTGGTACTTTTTCAAAAGACAAATGTATTCTAACTGGTATTTCTGGATTAGGGATATCAGCACGTCGGCTTTTTATGCGTTGTAAATGACTTGTAACAGATCTGCAATTAACAAATAATTAAATAATCAATATATGTGTGTATATGTGTATATATATAGTAAGTAATTACATACTTTTTACTATACAAAAGTTCCATATCTGTACCCTTATTCAAAGCATGACTTACAAACTGTATACAATGATCTGTAAGTTTAGACAATTGATCCAAAGCTACCTTCTTTTCATTTAATGTGTTTTGTTTCTGATCGCAAACTTCATTTAGGCGCATAACTAATTGTTTACCTCGTGTATTAATAGCATTTGTTAATCTAAAGAAAAAATCAATCGATCATGGAAGCAATCTTTAAATAATATAAACAACTAAATCTGTCTACTTACTGTACTACCATCTGAGTTATATCTTGAACTAAATTCTTCTTTTTTTCCAAAATTAAGATTTGTCTATCTTCTATAACTTTCATAGCACTTCGTAATAAAACTCGTTTATAACTAAAAATAATTTTAATAATTACGGTAAGTCATAAGAAGAAAGATAAAAATTAAAAAAAAATATTTAATTTTGGAATTTATAATATTAAATTAATTAACATTTACGTGTTATTAAAATAGAAGACATAGACAAAATAATACCTAACTTCCTTTAAAAGAGTTGAGACAGAAGATCTTGTTTCTGCAGCAATTTCATGGATGAATTTATACTTATGATCGCGATGATCACTTAGTTGACAATCCCTACAAGTTAATCTATCGCAGGTCTGACAAAATAAGGATAATTGTTCATGAGGATGAATAGTACAAAATAAATAACCAGGTATTTTTTTAATACCCTTTTTAATATTATCTCTATCATTTGCAACTTCTTCCTTTGGTTTGATTGTATGATCTTTTGTTATTTTTAGTCTTTGATGAGCCTTAAATAATAGAAAAATTATATGTTCATCTTTTGAAAAATTAAATGAATACATCATGTAATATATTTATGTAACATAAGTTATAAGATAAAGCAATCACCATGACACAACTTTGACAAATGAATTCCTCACATTCCACACACCAACTAGTAGCAATAGCATTATCATGACAACTAGTACATTTTTTCTCTTCTTCTGTTTCTGTAGATTCGTCATCTGTTCCCATATTAACATCTTCTTCAATAATTTTTGAAATAAATCTATTCTCAATTAAATTTTCTATTTGACTGGTAACATTGCAGACTTGGCAAGCAATAACATTGCTTTCCACTACAAACATATAAATAATATAAATCTATATATGTGTGATGTACATTTTCTTGTAATAAATTTCAAAATAAAGTATAAACAATTACAACAAAATCACTTAATTATAACAATACTTACATAAAATATCAACATCAACAGATGTATTATGATCTGTAATTTTATTATTAACACATGTAGTACAAGCTGCATGTAAACACTCCAAAAGTTTAGGATCATCACCGATGGTAAATGTTTTTCCACAAAATACACATTTTGATAAAAATGCTCGAGTTTCCGTCTCTTGAGATTCTGTGGTACATTCAATACGCTGTTCACATTCTTTTTCTGTACAAGCAGTCTGTACTTGGGATTGCTGTATATCTGACTTAGCATTGTTTTGATCCAATGGTTCTGTTTTAACAGTTACTTCTGGTGTTTGTTCGTTATTTCTGGCTTCCATAATAGTAATAACCAACAATGTGAGAACTATAGAAATAAATACTTTCATAATTTATAAAAATTATTATTTTCCATTATACTGTACTTATCATTATTACTTATTTTAACGATTAAGAACTTACCTTCAAGGCAGCATGTACCCAAATTATAACAGGAAAAGACACTAATTTGAGGCACTATTTGAGATGTATTACTATACTAACTTGTCCGTATTGCTTTAGAATTATATAAAATTCCACTCCACCAATGATATGTTATAAACATAACAAAATTGTAGCAGTAAAAGTAATTAATTTATAGCATTAATCATAAGGCAATAAGAAATTTACAATTTATCAAAAATCAAAATTCTTTTGTATATATAAATAATTATATGTATGTGTGATTAGCACGCGCGAGTCGTACTTCCAATTTGAAATTTAAATGTCTGGATTAAAATTATATCTGGTTAACAAAAATCTCTTAACCTAATTTATCTTAACGAAGAATTATTAATTAATCTCAATACTACATTACAGAAAAGTAGATACTATTATTTTCCCAACAAACAGTAAAGAAAGGTTATGGAGTGGTAAACTCAATAGTACTACAGAGAGTAGAGTGGGAGTGCAGGAGTGAGACAGGAAAAAAATAGATAGATAGAATGAGAGAGAGACAGAGAGGGAAGGTGAGAGAGCAATGTTAGAACCCTGAAGTAAGCAACGCTAATAGAACGTATCTATAATCTAAAACTTTATAAATTGACATTATTACTTTTAATTAGTTTATTATTGTCTATTCTTTTATTTTGTTGTATTCAATTTTTTTAACAAATTTTTTTAATAAATCAGTAATATAACGAATAAGCTTAGAATATAATAAAATCTCTTGGAATTGTGTTTATTAATGTAATAGATTTATTGTATATATACTATATATAACAAATATACTTCTACACTAGGGCTTTTACTATCACTCGGATTTATGAATGTAAGTTTTGAATATAATTCGAATAATTCGATATCCGGATATTAAGAATGGTATTATATAGAATTTAATAAAATAGTAAATATTAAAATTAATATTATAAAAAACTTTAATGTTTTTTAATTATATAAAGATTTTTATAATATTTGTTTCATTACAATTAAATAAATAAAAACTCAAATAATTAAATAAAATTATTCTAATTACTTTATGTATCATTTAATATTAATTAATTGGAAAATTGAGTACTGTTCGACAAATTATTTTCAAGGATTATAATGCTAAATTAGACATTTTCTAACAATTTCTTCTAATATTTGTATAACTATAATTATATATTTGTAAATTTTATCTTATTATTTATTGTAGATATTAAAAACATATAGAAAATATAAATTCAAACCGACATAAGTAGAAATATATTAATATCAAATTTTGTGAAATCAGATTTTAATTAAATGATCTTACCTGATATTCGTACCGACCAACAATGGAAAGACAGATCTTTTATTAAAATTTAGATACAATATAAATTTTTATAAAACCTATTAAAATAAATTTATAGCAACCCATGCTCACGCTCATGCTCATGATTATACTCATGCTCTGGTTCTGTTGTGATTTATGATCTATATTTTATCTGGTTATTTTACGTGAATTTTTCCAAAGTTGAGATCTAGCTAAATCGCTTTCTTTGAAAAAAAAATCGTGTCAAAGAACGATATTTTTCGAGAATAGTTTACGCATAAATAAAAAGCGTTTTCAAAAATTCATGAAACATATGTCCTAGATAAAACCATTTGTCTTTAAAATGAGAACATATCCATCAAAATTAGTCAAAAATTACGTCTGTTCTCATTGTCGACATAAATGCTGTTTTCGACATTTTTCACGTAGAAAAGTTTTGTATTGTGGCGCCCCATGAAATTTACGGCAAAAGAGAAGAAGCTTATATCCCCACTACTGATTTTCATATCACGTTTAAATGATGTATGTTATGTCTGTGAAGTAGCAAATGTATGCTGTTTGTGCATAAATAGCTGATGCTAAGATTTTCTAAACATTTCTAAACCCAAAGAAATGCGTTTCACAATGCTCGCTCAGAGAAACTACAGTAACTCACTTGATCATTCTTTGGACAGATGATTCTATGGCAAAAATAAAGAAATTCGTGTCCAATGTCACAAAGATTGTTACACGCGAGAAACTTAAAATAATTTTAATTTAAAGTTTCAATATTTTAAAAAATTTTCATTCCTGGGTAGTTGACCTTACGTAATATAACTATATACGAACTTTTTATTAACTTTGATATTTACCGAGTCAGTTCTTTTTTTTGTATTGTGGCGCCTGAACATAGAAACTCTCACTATCCAAATGTAAAAACTTATAAATTAATATTTTATTAACGAATATTTAAAGTAAGTATATTTTTATATCACACATTTCTTCAATAATTTATATAGTTTCTTATTATAACAGTGATATTAATAATTTTGTGTTTATTTTTCTTAATTTCAGAACATCATTGCAATTGCGCTCGAAGCGATGATGTAATCGAATGTTTGTGTCACTATTATAAAAATATCGCAAAGTGAAAACAGTATTTATTCGTTTGCGTTTTGCGATTTAAACAACAAGTATTTTTGCATCGATTGCGTGCAATTCAATCGTAAAAGTCAGTGTTCGCTCGCAAAGTATTTTGCTTTTTTAATAGTCGCACAGACTGTATTTATAAAAGACAATAGAATTTCTCGAAGTAAATTCAGTGATTGTTCGTTAATAAATAACTAGAGTCAGTGCACCATTGAATAGGATCTCGACTAACTTCGATACCGACCTACTTCATTTTCAACCAGCTACATTTTATCCACCCTTAATTTTAATCTAAATCGCGGACGAGTGTTTTGGAGCCGTCGCAGAACTTCTAAAGTAGTAAGTAAATTTTTTATCCATTTTTATTATTAAAATCGAGACATAAAGTTTGCACTTTTTCCTTTCCTAAAGTTCAGTTAAATTCATAATTTTATTTTAATAAAATCGAGTTTTGTATTAAAGTCATAGCTATGAAACGTATATGACAATTATGGGGACCACTAAAAGTGCACTGAATAAAGATGCACATGGAGCTGAAACAATTATGCTGGCATGTATGCCAAATTCTTCAAATTTCGCCACGCTTTACTAAAATAATATTTCTTTAAGAGAAGATACCATTCCTTTAGATTAGTATCCAGAATTTTTCATCTGTTTTTACTTTTCTGAAGTTAAATTAAATTAAATTCAAAATTTAAATATTTAAATAATAGAACATTCTTAATAACATTACGAAAATCGTAAGACACGATCAACATAAAATAAATTTAATTTTAATTTTCAACAAACATAAATCGCAAACTCGAGAGAGAATAATTAATAAATAAGATTGCATTACTAACATTTAAATAATGTACGAGATAAATGAATTAGAATAAATTAATATTTAAGCAATAAAATATTCTTAGTAACATTATCAAAATCGTAAGACCCAATTATAACAAATTAAATTAAATTTTATTTTTTGACAAACATTATTGAACACTTATGTAACATTCAAACAACGTACGAAATTCATGAATTTTAACTAAACATTAAAGTACTTACATTTTATATTGCAATTAATATTTCAATAAATAAATAATTAAATATAGTAGAATTTTAAAATATTTTCTTAGAGAAACGCATAGAAAATTTTTCTACCGCACTTATGTTCGCTGTTATTCCTATTTATTCTTATTAATTATTATTCATGAATTTCGGGTCGAACCCATAGGTTGGGCCCTTAAATGTGGTCCTTTGGGAGGGACCTTGAGCGGGTCTCCTTCTTTCAGTAGGGAAAAATCGAGCTCAATTTTGGTATTCTGATTTTGATCGGGTAAAGCGATATTCAATATGTCCACTTCTTGCTCTGGGTTTCGTCAGTGTCACGTGCGTGCTCGTGACACGTCCGGCTCTTTTTTCTTTTCTTTCTTCACTTCTCTTTTCTATCTTATATTTCTTTTCTTTCTGTTCTTCATCTTTTCTTCTTCTTTTCCAGGGATCATCGAGGGATCAACGAGGGATAGACTTATCTACGATCGGATGAGTCCGATGTATTGTTAAATGGCTCGGTTCATCGTCAATTTTTATGCGATAATACGGGAAGAATAGGGAGAACACTAGCACGTGTAGGACGGCATATGCATGGGTGTTAGTGGACGCGATTAAAAGTTCATTTTATTTATTCGAAAATTCAATTAAATAACCTCGCGTGGGTGTCTGGTTTGGTGGGTGGGTGTCTTGATTAAAAGTCTTACCATGGATTTCATTGTATTATTCGAAATTTGAAATACACGAAAGATTCTACTTAGTAGTAGAGTACATGTAGTTACCGATGTTGCAACGGTTCAGTTACCCATAAGCGGAGACTGACCCTTCTCTAGATAGTGTTGAGAGCCAGAATTCTCGGTTAGCTCATGTCACCTCAGATTTCAACGTAGAGTCAGCGTGATTCTAAACACTCACGTGAACGTTTTAAACACTCACGGAGACTGACCCTCCTCCTCTAGATAATATTGGGAGCCAGAATTCTCGATTAGCTCATGTCACCTCGGATTTCAACGTAGAGTCAGCGTTATTCTAACACTCACGTGAGTGTTCGCGAACGCAATTAAAAGTCCTACCGGGAACTTTGTTTTATTTGTTATTGAAAATTCGATTAGATTATTTCGCGAACGCGAACTTTAGAACAGAGTCACCGTTAGCCCGTTGGTCTCCAGATACAGCAATTTGCACGTAGTGAGACTTAGGTCGATAGTACTTGTGATATATTGAAATCTAATTGTAAATCACGCAATGCAACTTACCGGACGAACGGCTGAATATTTCAATGCATTTTAAAAATCCCTTCAAATTAATTCTGATTAAACACTAAAGTACTAATACTTTATATTGGAAATAATACTTCTATAGACAAATAGATAAAATATAGTTAAATTCAAAGATAATTCTTTAAATTCGCAAATGTATATACTAATTATCATATATGTTAATTACATTTATTATTTTTTATGCTTTTATCGTGAAATAAATCCAGTACCAGCGTCGCATCTAACATGGATCATTGCAAGACCCACGCATCATATAGAAAGATATACATATGAGAGATTGAAAAGAGTGAGTTTACTATCTACTAAATTACTTACTCTATCCACACAAAACCAATTATTATATAAGCGCGAAAGAAGAATAACCATCAAGCTTATATATCGATACAATAGACGTATGGTAGAGACAGCGTTCCCCGCATGTATTCGCAGTTCATATTTTACCTGTCGCTAAAGTCACACGCGCTTTGAACAAAAGGTATTGAAAGCGCGCAAACAATACTCGTAGTACCAACTAGTAACAGGAATTAATACTACACACTTTAATGTAAAATACTCATCGCACCATCTAGCAGCGAGAAATTATACTATAACATTAAGTACAAAATATCCATTGTACCATCTAAGAAATTGATACTAACGAAATAATACAACTTATCTGTATTCCCATTTATCGATTCAATTAAAAGAATAAAATTTCTCAAAAATCACCTTATTTACAATGCTTTTCTGTTATCAAAATTCATTTTTCGACGGATCAATTAACCATGTCAGAATTGTATATATAAATACATTAAATCTCATAAATTCTTTTCTTTAATTATTAAATGCTTTCTATTTATTTTTATAGTATACAATTCTAGAAAGATTATAAAATTGTCTATTAAAAATTATTTTAGAATTCTATTATATTTAATTTATTTATTTATTGAAATATAATTTACAGTGTAAAATTAAAATACTTTAATATTTAATTAGAATTAAAAGGAAAATATTTCGGAAACACGCTGAAATATATTCAGCCATTCGCTCGAAAGTATTTGCATTATATACTAATTTAGATATGTTTTAATATGTCACGAAACTATCAACCCAAATCTCATAATATGGAAATTGCTGCATATTAAAATCCACAAACTGAGATGATTATAACATTACGTATCTTGCGAGTTACGTATTTTGTCTAAGAAAATATATTATTGTTTAATAAGTACATTCTACATTGTTTAAATAATTATAAAATCATTGGAACTATAAGATGATTAAACGTAGCGATACGAATGATAGTATTTCAATGTTTATTTCTCGGAATACGAAAGAAAACTAACAATTATTTTATATTTATTATGAAAAAATACTTTGTAAAATAAGAAACAAAAACATCTATTAATAACCATAATTAAATTTTTATTAGATTTAATTGTTATTATTAGATATACAATCATTTTTAACATAAGAATTATATATTAGTATATAATATAAATTATAAGGTATATATTTAACGAAGGTAAGAATAAACTAAACTGTCAGATAATTAAAACATAAACAAGACTTATTTCTAAAAAAAAAAAAAAAATAGAAATTCAATTTTATATATTTAATATTGTATTATACAAGTTTAATATTATTTCCTTGTACAGATAAGCAAAATATTTGTAATAAGAACACTCAAATATAAAAATATAAATGATATGCTATTTACGTTTATCTTAAGTTCAACTAAATAAATGACAGAAAAGTAATCGTATCTCTCTTTACATTTGTTCTTCGTAATAGAAAATTAATTCTATGGTGTATAAAAATTCGCATTACTAATATTACATGTCGACATATTAGTAACAGAGTTTATAACGGTAATTGGATATTATACTAATAAGTAATATATGTACATACATATAAGTTTTAATATTTTTATAAGAATGTAAAGATTGTTTTATGATGAATGTACTAGCTTAAGTCGATGAATTTGAATTATTACTCTGTCCTATTTCACCAGAAGGCTCTGCTGTTCGAACTGGAACAGGACCATATTGAAGATAGTAATGTTGCTCTGGAACCGAATACCATGAATCGTGTATATTTTGCGGCGGTAAACCACCATATGCTGCTGTCTGTTGAGGATGCATATATGGTGAATATACAGATGGATAAGCTGGAGGATATGTTTCTGCACTTGGATAGAAATATGGTAAAAAGGAATGCATATTATTTGCATCCACGACATCAGAATTTGGGATGCAAGTAATATTAGGGAAGCCTCCTTGAGACAAGTAATACGAGCCTCCGTATGTATCTATTTCATTCTCGCAATATGGTATATTTGGATATGGTGATTGCTGCATATAAGGTATATGACAAGAATTTGGCATTCCAGGAGGTACATGTACTTGATTTAAAACAGTATTGACAAGAGGTGTTTGCATATCACCGTTTTGTAAATTTGGAACATTTTGAGATTCGCAAAACGAGGGGTTGTGTTGATATTGCTTAGAAAAATTCTTTTTGTACGGATACATTTGTTCGCAGTTATTATAATGTTGATCTGTAAAGAAAAGTAATACATTAGTTTATGAAGAGTATTGATATAAAATAACTTATATTACTCTCTTTTGATCAAACATACCTTTAGGTGTATTTTTTTTAAATCGTGGTGCTGTATTATTAGCTCGTTGTTTGTCTTTATTGACATTCTCTGTATCTTTAATATTCTCCTGAGCAAACTGTGATGTATTCCTTCCATTTTCCATCTTTTTTAACTTGTCTTTTTGTAAGTCAGTTACATTATTTACGCACATATTCATTGTCTTCTGTGCCAGTTGTGGGATAATAGTATTGTTCGCATTATTGTCAGTATTTTCTTTTTGTTCTATTGGTTTTTCATTTTCTGGTATGCACGTGTTAATATTCTGTACTTCTTCCATATTTTGAGATGCATCTGTAAAAAAGTGAAAAATATTTTTAATAAAATTATTGAATACAATATAATATGCGTATCATGTGAGTTTGTGTGTGTGTGTGTGTGTGTGTGTGTACAGAATTTATAATACTATATAATATTTGTATATTGTACAAAATATATAATACTTGTATTTGATGATGCAATAGATGGAACAGCTATACACCAAGATTCCGGAGGTGCTGACTGTCCATTAGGACCATAGTTCCATGCATGATTGACGCGGAAATACTATATAAATACAATTCATACGATTATATTTTTATCTCATCTAATATTAATATTCTTCAAACATATATGTCTCTTACCTCTAATCCTAAATTATAGAAAAATTTTAATGTAGCTGGATCTAAAACGGATAATTATGTATAGATTTGTATAAAATAATAACTTAAGTTAGATTAGAATACATACCTGACAATGGTAAATCACAGCTATTTAAATCCATACCTTTTTGAGTCAAATTATTAACATTTCGTAATGTTCGATTCATTTGATTAGCAGGTATTAATTCACCTGTATAACCAGGCACGTACGAAACAGCAGGATAGGAATTACCATCCGAAGCAACATAATATAATGATGAAGTTCCGGTTACAACTTGTGAATTATCTAAAAAAAGTGTTACAGATATATTCATATAATCCATTTTATAATTTATAAATATTTAATTTATACATACGAATTCATCCTACATTAAGCCTAATTTAATTATAATAATTTTACTAAAATAATCTTTGTTTTTATATTACTAATTATTATATACTTTGTTATTAATGTATTTTTTTTAAATGCCAACATACCTTCTCTACTATCTTTTGTTGTATTTTCATCCATATCACCCTGTCCATGAAATTGAAAAGTATTATTCTGGAAAAATAAGAATTTATTCTTTACATCAAAATCTATTTTTCATTTTTTATAATATAGTACATGATTGTCGTACATTTGTAGTATAATTTTGTAATTTTCCCAATGTATTTTCCCCAAGCACTTGACCTTGATTTTGATTATTCCTACTAACATAACACTAATTTATAATATTTTATATAGAATTATTGTAGAGTCATAATACGAGCTGATAATGTAACATTTACCATTCTTGTCTTTGCCATTGACACTCTGAAAAATCTTCTCTTTTTATATTTTCATTATTATTGTCATTATTATTAGTAATTATCATAACAGGTGCCGCAGTGCTGGTAGTTAATAAAGGAGTAGTCACATTAGTAGTATCAGAAATACAAGTGTTACTGGTAGTAATGGAACACTTGTTATTATCAAGATTTTTTTCAGGATTATTAGTAGATGTAGAATCCATACGATTTATTTGTTCTTTTGTTTTGTTTGAACTAGCATTAGAAGATTTCTTATATTTTTGATCTAAAAAAATCATACATAACGTTCATATATAAATCATTGAAAAGAAATTAATAATAAAATCTTATTTAAATTGTACACCAACTGGAATCAATCAGCTGGACATTTTTTTTACATGTTGGTGCCCAATTGCTCTGCTTATTTTTTCGTAAGGATAATGGTTTGAGAGAAGAATATGGTACAGTCTTTTTTTCTCCAAGTTCTTCTACAAATACTACTACGGAACCTTCGTTTTTACTTATTTCTTGAATATGTCCACAAAAGATTGCAGGATTTTGATCCGATTTTTTTTGTAATGTCTTTGTTTCATTACAACCTTGATTGTCCTCTGAAGTGGCTCTTGTATTAATATTAATTCCATCCAAGTCATTTTTATTAAAGTTCATTTCAATTAAACATTTATCTCCAATTTGGAGACCATTACTGTTATATCTTGTCCAACCAGCATTTTTTATTTCTGTGTAATAATACAAACATTAATTAAATATTTGTAATAATGCAGTACACATAATGTAAACTACATACCTCGTCTAATTTCATGCCATACATCGAAGTCAATATTTCTATAAATATTAACATCAATAGCTTTAGCAACTCTATAAGGGAACGGTGGTACACCTTTGGAGAAACAGTACATATCCCCTGTTGTCTCACAGCCATTTTCAATTCTTTTATATATTTCTGCAGACAACTGTCTAAAAAGAGAGATATAAGGAAACATGAAGTATATACTATACTGATTAGAAGTGTTTCCTAAAAGAACTTACTCTCTTATCTCGAGATTTCCTTTCAAGAAAAATTTATCATGTCTCAGGGTAGAACTTCGATCATGTAGCATTTTGTGAACAGTATTATCCACATTTTTCATATCAAATACATTTTTATACAGAATTTGATACATAATAGCTATGAATATAAAGCCAAATGAAAAATAAAATATTAAAATGTAATTGTAAAATGGATACTACTTACATTGACAAAAGCCAGCAGCCATAACAAAATTTTTATTATATACGCTTTCATACTGTTTCTGTGGCGTATGACATAAATATATATGATTTGTAAAACCATTATTAGTCACTGATTTACACGTTTGTTTCTGTCCATTAAACAAAATTATATCTTTTTTGTAAAGCAAAGATATAGCTTGAATTTCATTCGGACCACCTGATTCTGTGAAACATGCCATTTGTTCTAGGTAATTATCAAATGGAATTGTTATAGACTGTAAACAGAATTTAAATGATGTTTATAAATACTGAGTTAATACTTATCTAAAAGAAATCTTATAACATTACCTCTTCAAATAAATGCTTCTTTTGTCGCATGAATTCTACGCATTCTTTTCTTACTCGTATATGATAGTATTGTGTTAAATAAACTTGTTCGCTAACAGCTCTAAACAAACAAGTTGGGTCCCTAGGAATATGCTTTCGAAAATATCCTTGGCTTTGTAACCATTCATCTACATGTTCTTGCGTTCGTTTTGAAGATTTTCTGGGAGATATTTCCATAATTCTTCAAAAAGAAATCATAAAAATATTGTATACTTATAAAAAAGTAGAGATTAAAATTTTGATAATCAGTTTGATTTGCATGCATCATATTCCTTTTTTCTTTTCTTTTTTTAAATTTATGCTTAATATAATTTATGTAAACGAAATTCATGACAGATGTATATATACATGCATTTCTATAAATACACATATGATCTTTGTTTATGTAAGTAATAAATGGAACTTATACTAGTTTCCATTTATCGGCAAATATATGACAATCGATAAACAATATGATATTAAATATAAAAAGAAGAATATCTACTTTAAATAATGACAAATGATAAATCCTGATATATAATAAATAGAATGTCGTTAAAGTATTTTGTCTTAGAACGATTGAAGGATGATGATTGATTTTACTTACGTGGATTATAAATCGTTATTGATATATCGATTTTTTGATCAACAAAATTAAAGAATAACTTATTCTAATTGCCTGGAAATAAAATTAACAAAAAAAAATTATTGTAAATGTTAAATAAAGAACAAAATAAAGGATAAGAAAACCGTTTACTACAACGTGTTCGGAAAATAAGTTTCTAAACCGCTATTGGTTAAACGAAATCTAAAAATCATTGGAAGATCATTAATTGGGTAAAAAACTTTTTATACGCGGTCTTATTAAATATAAAATATTACAATTTACCACATATATTTCTCCTTTTTACTTAGTCAACCAATGAATCAGTGATTACTAGTTAAAAAAAATTAACATAAGAGGCAGAGAACATACGTTAATCTTGCTTGACGATCATAAACCTCAAGGGCGGGTCCTTTGTTCTGTTTCTGTTCGAAGTCGGTCTTTGTTTTCTTCTGATGCGCGGTAATTTTGAGTGAGTAAACAGAACTATTACACGTATTCTATTAAAAGTAACTAAAAGCATTTAATCTTACATTATTTGATAGAGTAAATTAATATTAAATAAGAATTTATAGTAACATTTTTGAAAATCGGTAAATGATTACTATGTCTGACAAAATTGGAAGAAAATTTTGTACAAATGATTTTTTTATTCATCGTAATAATTTCATTGGAATGACAATGCGTTACGTACGAAATATTAAAAAAGTACAATAGCCCGTTATATAAAATATGATTTTTACACAAATATAAAGTCAATCGGTGTAGCTCTGCGATATCTATAACGTATGCAATGCCACCAATCTTGCTGCTATAGAAAATAAAGTTTTACTTGCGTGCAGCTTTTTTAGTATAAAAAGTACATCCTTTGACGAGTATCAAAATATTTGGATGATAGCGTCTTGAGCCTAAAATGAAGTTAGTTTGACAAAAAATATTAGGACTCGCATCGCCACAATATCTAAGGTTTTCTTGATCGTAATAGAAAACCATTTATTGCGTTTAGATATCGCCAGAAGGAACGTTTGTGACGGTAGTATAAGTATAATCATGAGATTACATTAACACAGTGTTTCGCATTCACATTTTTGTTGGCAATGTATGAATTATTGTTATACAATGTCATGATATAGAAAATGGAAGAAATGACAAATTGCTGCTCTTTCTCTTCTTCATTCTTCTGACAATATTCTTAAGCAGCTATTTTCTCAGCATCGATTGCTAAAATACAAAAAATATATATATATATATATTTCAATCTATCTTTTTGTTTCTTTTTTAAATGTTTCAATAAAAATCATACAAACCTTCTTTGGTAGGCAAAGGATTTTTTTCAAGCGTTTCTGCATGCTTGAGTTTCGCTGGATCGAAATTTTCGATTCCAGAGATCAATTGTTGTTTTCCCTTTTCTTGCTGAATCGCTATAATAGATAATAGCAAAATAAATTATAATTTATACGTAATGTTCTTATTTTTATATAAATGCAATTAGATTTTATATAATTGAATAATAATAGTAAGCGGTAGAAATGGTGAAATAATTGGTAAAAGTTATTGCAATTAATTTAAATGTATATTCACCATCTTTATCAGGCAATGGATTCTTCTCCTGAGTTGTAGTATGTTTCAAACTAGTTGGATCAAATGTTTCAATGCCAGCGATCAGCGTTTGCTGAGTTTTTTCTGCTGCAACATCTGTAAACATTGAAAATAAATTATAACAATACAATAACAACATTCAATGAGTATTATAATGTTAATAAGCATTTTTTTTAAAGACGAAGTTACCTGAAAACAATGATGAAAACACATAAGCATAAACATATATACAAACATATGCATGAAAATAACTTAGGACGTATACATATTAATGAGTATGAGTTCCATGATAGGAATATTGAAACATAGCCTGTTCTATATAATCTCAGTCTATTTTTTTGCCCGATATTCTTTATGAAAAAGCGAAATTTTGATTGAGTTTATCTCCAAGCAAGCTTTAAGTTTTGATCTTAAAATCGATTTTTTGATTATACTGTTACCAAAATAATGTAGACAACTTTTCGTTTGTTCGAATGTTCTACTTTCGTTTCAATACCTTTGGCATTTGGTAAAATAATCTTCTCTTTTGTATCTGCATGCTTCAATTGATGTTGTTTAAAACTTTCCACGTCGTGAATCAATTCGGAATGTTGTCGCTCTTGTCGTACGTCTATATATATTTTTAAATTAAAAATAATCGACACTTCTTTTTTAACGTGTACTAATAATATAAAACTTGTAAAATCTGATTGATCATAACTACAATTATAATTTCTTCGATATTATTCGTACGATCGCAAAAGATAAATAAATTATTGCAAATTATTTAAATCGTTTAAAATACCTTCTGCAGAAGGCAAAACGTTTTTCTCCGCAGTTGCTGCCTTCTTCATACAACCGTGATTGAAGCCTTCTAGCTCGCTTTTCAAATCTAGCGCCACTTTAGGTAGATCTTTTAACGACGGGCTTGACATGATGCTGCGTTAAACTTCTTCAATCTGAAATAATGCCATATACTTAACAAATTGGAAATCTCTTTCTTAATCTTATACAATATATAGATATATATCTATATATATCTATATATATCTATATATATATCTATATATATATCTATATATATATCTATATATATATATTTTTAATTACTTGGACTCTGTTTTCAAATATTATTATTCTATAAGTATGTTATCTGTAAAAATTTTTGGTTAATATCGATTCGGAGAAACGAAATCGAATTTCGATTCTCGTTTGTTCCATTTGAGCGAGTATAATCAAATGACTACGATAAATATTGATTTTATTTGGGCAAATAAAAAAAATGAATTAATCTATACCGCATTCACGGGGAGAACGACTAACTTTGAGCAGAGAGTAAGAGATTATATATATGGGGGGGGGGGGGGGGGGGGGGGGGGGGGGATTCGAGATCGCTATTCAGTGCCGTATGCGTTATTATCGTATTCTTGGACCTCGGCGCACAATCTACTTTCGGCTAATGGAGTAAGTGAATTTATGCACGCGGGCTCCCTCTGCTGACTGTTTGCCACTGTTTAACGGCGTGGAGAGGGCAAAATGGGCGTTCCTTCAGGCGGGATCTGACCAAACTGGACGAAATGTCTGGTCGTTCTTACCATGGAGGTGATATAGTTGAATTTCAAGAATTCTACAATCATTTTTTTTTAAAGGTGCATACGTATTATATGAAAGATATCTAATAACATATATCTGTCAGCAATAATTCTTCGCATGATTTCGATATACATAAAAAAAGAAAAAAAAAAAAAAAAAGAAAAAAAAATAAAACGTTGAATCGGTATTATGATCGACGTATTAATCATATGGACATAGCGCTTGACTTAAATATTTTTTTTAGAAATAATTTATATAAATCTGTCACATGAATTTAATAAAACGATTATCAAGGCGTATACGATCATTCTTATGAATCATTATATTTATTAATTCCGTCAAATTCAATGAAGTAAAAAACATATAACGAGTTTATATTACATTATTTACGCTATGGATTTTATTGTTTTTTTTTAACTTCTATCATAACTTGACGAGATTCTGTTTATATATACACCGTTATCAATACTCATTGTCGGTCGGTCATATAGACAGTTACGTCGGAAATATACATTGAAATAAATCGTGAAATTGAATATACATCGTTCAATATTGAATCATGACTTTCAGCAAAATTTACTCGTCTGCACTTTTTTTCCTAACTCTTATTTAATGGTAACCAAGTAAGCTATACGTTACGAACAGGAAATAGCGGCGGCTTGCTACTTCCTGTTTAAGCTTCCTCTCATCACTTTATTCGTTTTGTTCCTGCATAATTTTAGAATTTCTTTCCTTGAATGACATTAACGTATAGTTTCCAATTAGATATTTTGTTTTATCATAAAATTAAGAATAATGAATAATTAAATTCATATAAAAATACAATTGTTTTAAATTACGTATTCTTAGTTAAAAAATTTCTTTTAAAAAGACATTTTGTGGGTGATAAAAAAAAATATAATTATTAATTTTCATTAATTTTCTTTTTTATTAATTTTTTTATTAATTTTCATTAATTTTTCTTTTTATTAATTTTTTTTATTAATTTTCATTACTTTTTTTTTTGGACGCAAACGAAATTACGTTCGCTGAAGCTTCTATGACAACTTTTGTATAAACATCTTCTGATATAGTACACCAAAGCCGTATCAAATCGTTACAAGATCGTGTAATGTGTCTTACATGAAACCGCAGACACATATGTGCGTTCATCAACGTAATATAAGTATGCGAAAACATGTATTCTTAATCGGTTATTGTGTAAAGTTTACTGGAGTGTAATGTAGGAAAAAAAACAAAAAAGATTCTTAAAAGGCTTCGCGTCTGTCTAAAATAGAATATTCGTGACAGAACTTTTGAACAAAGCCATGTTGTAAATATCGGGAGTACGAAAGACGATCCTCGAAGACCGAGAAAGAGTTTCGAGGGATATGCTCTCTCTCACGAATGGTGGGTCAGCATCGACAAGACTGTATAGGTCCTTATATGGTAGTCGCTTGTATGCCTGTTATAGACAGAAAGAGAAAGAGAGAGAAAGAGAGAAAAAGAGAGAAAAAGAGAGAGAAAGAGAGAGAGAATCGAAGAGAGGCATTATATGCGAGGCAAGAGTATGTTCTTCGTCCTTTAGAATGACTCACAAAAATGATCTTATACTGTTTGAAATTAAATAAATAGATTTTTAATCATATAAATCATATCACATACGTTTCTTGCTTTTCTCTTCTTCTCTTTTTTTTTTTTTTTTTACATTTATTTACTACTTCAGAATGTTAAAAAAAAAAAAAAAAACACGATCAGTTCGAAAGAATGCAGAATTATTTTCAGGTGCCATTGTATATACAGTTGGCTGTACATTGCATATTTTTCCAAATATACGTGGGTGTCGATATTACGTGAATGTGTACGTTTATCTCAGGTGTATTATATATATATATATATATATATATATATATATATATATAAAAAGTGTATGGAATAATATTGTGTGTATGTATGGTTGCATGTAACGGTAAGACGTAAAGACAAGCGATATCTTGATAGCCTTACGGTATACAAGTGGATAAAGAAAAAGTAAATCTCACTCGTACGAGATAAATATATTTATATATTTATATATGTAAAAATTATTTTACACAATTTAAAATAATCGTAATAAATAAAATATTAATATTTCTAAAAAACTGTATAAAATAAAAGTTCAGTCGTTTAATAGTTAATCTATAATTTAGGACATAAGAAGATGTCCTATTTGATTTAATCATCTTGTATATCTCTCCGTTCTAATGATAAAGATTACCTTGGAAAAGATCATTTTGTATGTAATCATATTTTCATCACGTTCGAACCGTGCAATTTGTTTCAGAGAGATTTATCCGTGTCATCAAAAACAACGAAGATATTCAACTCAACTAGGACACCTAGCGTACATTACACAGCAAGTTTCTTTCGTTTTCTCAACGTTAAATAAAATGTCGACAAGATGGTAATATTATTTGATGAAGATCCGGAGAAATCATTCTGCAAGTTCATGCGAATTTTCTCGGTCAAATGCATCTGGCGAGGAAAGGAGAGCGGCAAGTTAATAAGGAAACTAGGTTGCACGGAACGACAATCCATGCCGGTTTACAGGACGCTCGTTGCTTCGGTTGAACGAGTGAATCACCCTCTTCATCCTTAAATATGAACGGCCTACTGCGCACTTTACTGAATCTGAACATCTCGTTACTTCCATATTCGTTGGATAAAGTATGCGAGATCGTCTAACATAAGAGATACACTCGAATCCATATATCTTTTAGAGTCGGTCGAGAACTCCAAGTAATTTGTACGTTATGTATATATATATGTGTGTGTGTGATGGTACGCGCGAAGGCTTCGAAAAATATTATCGAAGAAAACAAAAAAAAAAACAAAAAAAAAAAAAGAAAAGAAAAGAAATAGAAAGAAAAAAAGAAAGAAAGAAATATTTGGAAATAACAGGTACATCAGGCAAATGAGATCTTACAGCTGGCAACCAACCAGTTTACGCGGCAACCAATTAACTTGGGTAATAGCATTTAATGCTGGACTTCTTCGACGTACATTGAGATACGTGTTTATACCTATGTATAGTTTGTTTCATATTATTCACTTTATATTACCTTTTTCGGGATTGAAAATATATGTATGTATGGCGTTAATTGATACGATATTAACCAAAATATACGTATGTAAAAATATGCATGCATATATATATCTATATATAAATATGTAAGGAGAATGAAAAAATGATATCTTTCCAACTTAATATTTTCCATGGCGTTCATTATTTTAGTACAAATTCATTAATCCGTCGTATCGTCGTTGTAGCGACAGGGCGTGGCCACTCAATGTATTTTTATCTTTTTTCCCCAACAGACGATCGAATTCAAACAGTAATTAAGCATTGAAATAAATCAAATTGTAAATTCTATTGCAATATGTTAATTTAATTATATTTAATATATCATATATCTATGTAAAAAAAAAAAAAAAAAAAAAACGAAAGGATGAAAAATCTTTAATGTCATAAATGAATGAAAAGGGATAACGAAGTGAATTTAGAGTTCGTTTGAAACGGCCTGTACTTAGGTAAGCACACACGTTTATATCTTCATATATACGCGTATCGACCGGTGGGTTGAACTATGCATCTATATATATATATATATATATATATATATATATATATATATATATATATATATATATATATACACATGTGTATGTATGAAAAAACCAGAGAAAAAGAGAGAGAGAGAAAGAAAAAAGCATATACACGTATGCAGGATACACGTATATACATACATATGTGCAAAGATCGTCGTTGCATGTAAAATAAGAGACGAAACGTTAATGTTCTTTCTCTCTTTCGTGCGCGACCGTGACGGCTAACGAACCCTGGAGTGCGCGCACGCGCGCCGTATCGAACGGTTCTGCGAAAGCTCAGGTACGTATCTAGCTATGGGAATTTGGAATGATTCATTCACTAAAAAATATATATATACATATGTCTATGTATATGTATGTATGCATGTATGTATATATATGTATATATATATACACACATATATATATATACAGAAAAAAACATCTAAATTTAGAACGGTCCTTTTCTTGAAACTACCCCAAAGATCGTTAAATCGTTTGAGTTCAAAGCACGCTTCGATAGAATTTCGATGTGGGGGAGAAGAGGTGGTGTTCTTCGAGAGGGGGCCAACGACACGACGCAGACGGATTCATCGATTGGCATAGGGTGATTCGAGTAGTGGGGTTCGTCGACTCCATTTCGACATATATATATATATATATATGCACATATACACACATATTCCCTCTAGTAAATATACGTGTATATGTGTATATACAGGATGTTACATCTCGATAGGTTCATAGAAATATAATCGATTTTATTGAAGTTAGCTAATATTTGTAAAAATCTTGATAATTTCAATTAATTTTTAAACTCTCGAAAACTCTTTTATATTTATTCTTAAAATATTCTTTTATATTATTAATAATTTTAACAATAAATCATCAATCATTGCCGTATAAAATGAGACACCGTGTATATCTACTCGGACTCCCTTTTCATGGTCACGGTTAACGCAGCGGCCTCGAAATATATTCGGCTAAATTTATAATTCCGTTCCGTTTGACAGTAACTCGAAAGGAATTCATTTGAAATTTAAAAAAAGAATATTCTATTATATGGCATCGTTGCCTTGGTAACAGTGCGCCTATGTAAGCTGGAAAACGCATACGGAATTTAAATTTTGAAGAAAGAAGAAAATAAGAGAATGAAGTATTATCGACAATAATATATTTTAATGCATCGATGAAAAAACGAATCAGTATGTTTGATAGGCGTTCTTCTGCATCTGTCAAAACCACGCCCTTTCGCATTCGACCGTCTTTGTCCGATAATTTCGCGCGGAACAATTGGTTTATTGAAAAGAAAATCGAATGAGACGGATCAAAAATATTACATGAGAGACGAATTGTAAACTTCAATACGAAGCTTTTACTTGATACTTAGTTTTATATGATATCGACCACACCCCTCTCTCTTTTTCTCTCTCTATCTCTTTCTCTTTCTTTCTCTTTCTCTTTCTTTCTTTCTTGTTCTCTGGTTAAACCGGCAAATCTTCGCTCTTTAATAATAAATTATTTACATATAACATCGATACTTTAGGAAAAATTTAAGAAGGGAAGGGGGTAAGAGGAACAACGTAAAAATATAATTACTTTTCACCGGCGTAATAAACTCGATATTTTTAAATATGCCGGCTCGAGCCGGTAAAATGTTAAAAGGAGTAAATGATGATTCGTTGTGAATGATTAAAACAATAAATATGAGAAGTAGGGATCACTGACCTGTCGTCGTCGATTATCACTGCTATAAGACTTGAGACGGTGTGGGAGAATACACGTAGGCCAGACGAAAATTCAAGGACAAGAACTAAACGGCACGCCGACTGATCCGTTAGTGTTTCTGCGTGACGCCACGCAATCAGGTACAGCGGCCGAGGAGAGAAAACTTCCACCACTCCTGCGGGCCCCGTATCCCCATTCTTCTCTTACGAACCAATCACCGAGCGTCTACGATGCTCCCTTCTTCGTTCTGCATGCGATAGTGCTGCCATTGTAACTAATTCGATAACTATGATTTATCTTGATTTTATCTAGAGATATGTATTTAGATCATTTATTTCGACATATTATTCATTTCACGGAAAATTAACATTGCTACTTTTATTTAATAGTAATAATTTTTAAAACTTATTTTATTTAATTAATTTGTTATTTCTGCAAATTTCAATCTATATGTCATATAGTACATTGAGATTATTATATACTGTAATTATCGATCTTTTGAAGATTTATACCATTATTATGATCCTAATAATAATAATAATATTGATATTTTATGATAGGAAATTATTAATAAGTATTATAATTTTCAATGATATACCATTATTTTATATGAAGCAGAGTAACATCATTTCTTATTATATGTTGTTATTCACAATTACGTATTGATAAAATAAGAAAGTGATATGCGTAAAAAGAGTGAAAAATCTTAAGAAAATATTTTCTAGAGAGCTTGATGCTGAGTATTATTATAGTCACTAAGGGTTAGTATGCATTCATTGGTACTCTTTTTCGCTAGATTTAACTTCTCGTTGCTAAGGGCATGAGAGAAACCGTTGTTACTATTTGCGGTATACAGGGGGATTTCAGAAGATGAGGGTTGATGGCTTGGGATGACTCACCGCATCGTCATCGTTCCAGCTGCGCGTCATGTGGCAGACTGCGGGGATATCTTGGTTCACAAAAATGCTTATAGATTATACCGTGAATAGTGAAACAAACACATTTTCTTAATTAACTTATTTCCATAACACAATTTAACTGCGTATGTATAAATATATTTGTGTATTTTTAAATCAAATACTTGTATTTCTCAATAAATCAAATAAATTTATATAAATTTACATGATAACAATTGTTTTTTTTAATATATGAAATCATTACATTATAACCATTTGTAAAATGTAATCGTTATATATAGTTAATTATATATAGTTACAGTTTTTTATCTTAATTTCATTTTTACTTAAAATTGATTTAATTTTTGACTTTATGAAAAAAATATGATACTAATAGGTTACTAATAGAATACATTGACAAAATAGAAGAATATTATGCACTTTATTTAAAGTATTTTCACATTGAAACCAAACTACATTCGAAATGAAGAAACATAAGGGAACACTTGCGAGAATATTTAAAAAAATGGATTGACACAAGTGCTTTATTGATAATCTGATGTTTCTTATTTCTAAAATTTAATACACATCACATATTATCTTCTTAGTGTAAAGTAACTCTTAGCAATATATACAAAAAGCCATTATAAGGGGTTCCCTATGTTATGTATACGGTGATACATCCAAAATGTGTAGAGACCGTTTAAGGTACAAAGAAACCTTAATTTCCTAGATACTTGTGAGATGGCTTATAAAATGTTTTTGTGTAATTTACAATAAACAGAGAACCAATGATACTGAATTGGTTTAATTAAATATAATATTACTTTCAAGCCAATTATGTAGGCGATTAATGCTGTAGCATTTAATATTTTTTTTTCTGTCGAAAAATGTATAGGACACATTTTTTTTCGTCATGTACGATGTTTAAACACCATGGAGTCTGTATATTCGCTATCAATTAAATCAAATCGGCTTCTTGAATATGAATCAATATAAAAAAAAAGAAAAAGAAAAAGAAAAATAACGGAAGATTGGCGTTAAGTTCCGTTTAAAAATCCCTTCATCATTCAGTCAACAACTTTTTGTTTGTTGCTTTCTGGTGATTTATCTCCGTTCATAGGCGAATGGGAGGGACTGTGACTTTTGCTATGTTTGCTTCCTGATCGAGATCGGGACCTGTCGCCTCTCGATCGTTCACGGCTGGATCTATCCCTATAAAACAATATAACGAAAAATGTATAAACCAAAGGTTCATTTTAATTAAAACACAACATTTTTATTTCTTGCGCTACTAGAATTGATTTAACTATTTGCATTTCTCTGTCATACATTTTCAACTCGCTAATTTAGTTCATTACGTTACAATAAAGACACGGAAACGCAAAATTCAATTTAGCGAGAAAGACTCACTTTGAGGGAGACTTGGCTTTTGATTTGGACTGCGACCTGGATTTTGACCTCTCAGCCTTGGACCTAGAACGAGATCTGGATTTGGACTTTGACTTAGATTTCGACTTTGAGCGGTCTCTTGATCTGTAAAATTATAGTTCAAATAAAGAAGAGAAAAACTTAATGAAATACAAAGGAACTCTTTTTCCAAGCTTGCGCATGATGATTGATGCGCATTATATGTGAACAAGCATGAGAGCTCAAGGCATGTACCCAGCCCAAAGCACTGCCAATATCAGAATGGGAATATGAAGTTATCAACAAGTACGCAAGAAATGAAACAAACAAAGACAAATATATGAACGGATAACACGATGTGATTTGATCTGATAAAAATTCAAATACGAAAGCTAGACGTCAAAAAGAAATAATTTGATACTCACTTTGACTTTGAACGTGAGCGACTACGTTCGGGGGACTTGGATTTGGATTTTGATTTAGATTTTGAGTGTGCTCTTGATTTTGAACGACTGCTTCGTCGGCTGCGACTACGAGAGCTTCTGCGGCTTCTGATAATCAAAGAGATACAATAAGTCCAATTAAGGACAATAATTTTTACATGGCATACATATGTCAATGTAAAGAAATTAAATGGCACCTCTAGAATAATTACTTATATACTACATATATATGTATATATATATATATATATATATATATATATATATATATATATATAAAGAAAAAAATCTACTTATATTATTCAGAATATAAGTAGACTTGGATTAAATAAAGAAATTATATATATATATATATATACAGAGACACACACGCACATATATATATATACATATACATATATATATATACATACATATATATATATATATATACATATATATATATATATACATACATATATATATATATACATATATATGGTGTATAATTAAAATATTTGGGATTCTAATGTGATGATAAACAAATATGTAAAATGTAAGGGATAATAAATAACATAAAAATAAGTAGGAGACTTGTATCGCCCCCGACAGTACCTTGATCGGGTTCGAGAACGACGATTATACCTTGAGCGGGAGCGGGATCGGCGACGAGATCGAGAGCGCGATCGTGATCTGGATCTCGAACTCGAAGATCTTGAACGACGACCGCGCCTCTTGTCTTCGATAAGCCTGATTCTACGTCCATTCAATTCTGTGTCATCTAGTTTATCTATAGCGTTTTTCAGGTCTGAATATGTAGCAAATTCTACAACTCTGTAATCAAAATAAATATTTTATCAATCACATTCGAGATTCAAAATATGCATGTCAGTACAATAAGTGTAGGATTGATTTGTAACATTACCCTTCATTTCTGCGTTGTTTGTGTGCATCTGCGTAAGTTACTTCTCCAGCTTGTCGCATATAATCCTTCAAATCCTAAGCGTTACATAAAAAAATATAATCAATATATCGCAGTAATTCAAACAGTTGCAAAATTTACAAATAATAATTGCGATTAAACTTTACTAGAATGTGTTCCTAGGTTGATTTATCGCAAAGATTAATATGTATCCTGTGCACTGTTACATTATAATCCTATTAGAGATCTTCCCATTTATAAAGGCAACCTAAATATAATCCTAAAGAAAAAAAACAATGTATCATGACCTATCATCTATCTGTATCTTCACATATGAATTATGTTGAAGATCACGTGCTCGAATTTAGTATCTGCATTTGATGCAACCTTTCTTTTTATGCAATTCAATGCTTTATACATTTTATTATTATTAATTTTCTAAATATCTCCACTTTGCAGAAAAAATTTCTTGATCTTATTATGTAAAAACTTAGTTTTTTTTCAGTCCATTTAAATCATATAATTACATGTATAATTTCATTGAAATTTCTGCAAAGTGGCTCACAGTTGATCATACATAATAATATAAATTACAGTATCCTTTCTATCTATAGCCATATGACAAACATGATGCAGAATCTCTTCTAACTATTACAAAAAAAAAAAAAAAACCTGTGGAGTGTCTACACAACAAAATTTAAGGATACAGCATTACTATTGTCTATTCAAGATATACTGCTTTGCAATATCACTGAAATACACAAAAATATGAAAATGAATGTTTAATATTATTACAAAAAAATATTTAAAAAAGAAGAAAAAAAAAAGACTAAATAAAGTCCACCGCACCAGTGATCGCTCCCAAGTCTATATCTTATATCGCAAAATAAAGAAAAATCCTCATAACGGGAAGATGATTATAACACCGGATTCTTGTTACATCGACGAACATCGCCCAAACGTAGACTCCGAAGTTCCAAATATCGTTCTTTTGAACAAGTCAAACTTCATTGATATTCCCTTGGTGAATGTTATATGATGGCAGCTTTTGTCCATAGAATGACTTCCCTCTTTTTTTTTTTTTTTTTAATTCGTAATTCCTGCAGTTCTTTCTTTGATATTCATAGAAAATATTAGTAGCATCTTCTCATCAGGTAACTCATCGATATCTGTGCTTGTTCATATATGTGGGAACCAGGTACGGCTTAATGCTGTAGGTAACTCTTGTTCATGAACACCAGTAAATTTTCGCTGTTTCTAACTTGGGGTCCTTGTGTATCCTTGGATCCACGATGTAGCTTCTCTTTTTCAACGACATCATACCTCTTTGTACAAATGGAAGACAGAGCAATGTAACGAGGGAGTATAGCCAATCCTTTCCCCATTTTGAGATTCATCTATATTTTTCTTTCTGAAATTACCTTTGTTCTTATTTATATTATTTAAAAACTTGAATTTCTGTCGTTAAATTGTCTTGCATAAAGAAAAGTTGGTATTATTTCTAGATTTCAAGTAAAAACTTTTGAATAATCTTACACGACTGAATCAGAATTTAAAGGGTAAAATTTGTGTATGACAACAGTATACGATTATCAGGAATATTCATATACATAATCAAGTCAAAAAAAAAAAAAAAAAAAAAAAAAAAAAAAAAAAAAAAAAAAAAAAAAAAAAAAAAAAAAAAAAAAAAAAAAAAGATAAATAAATAAGACAGAGAAATGAATGTAGTTAACACGTGTCTTATTCTATAACGAATGGATGCCTAATTTCGAGCACAGTAATGTCATAGCTATGTATAGTCTCCTGTCTCCTGTCTCTTGCGTGTGCAGGGCTCCAAATTCCAAAAACTATCAATGGATATATCTATGTACATATGCATACATGTATATATTTTTATATATGCATATACATGATATATAACGATAGCTGTACTGAACTATGGTGCACAGTAAAAAAAGTTAATGAGACAATGTATATGAATAATAAACATTATCATGTGTGTAAGTGTATATAGATATAATAGATATATATCTAAGAAGAGTACACTCGTTTAAGGTGACGCATTTACCTTGGGCCCAGGCACCACCTTGCTTACGGACAGAGAGAAAGGCCAGACGCAGGGCGCTTGGTCGGGTCGAACGGATCTGTGTGGCGCAGTCGCGGTTGGTTCGGGTTTCGGCCCGCATGTATGCCCTCTCATGGGTGGCTGCTGCCTGACTTACTAGATGGCTAGATTGGTGCCGTACCAGTAGCAGTAACAGTCGTAGAAGAGTAGTACCAGTGGTAATGGTGATGACGATGATGATGTTGGATGGGAGTAGTAGTAGTGTTGGTGGTAGTGGTAGTAGTAGTAGTAAGTAATAATGTCGGTTTTGTAATACAGGATAAAATCATGACTCGTTGGTGATAAAGGTGATAATAAGTAAAGACTGAAGAGTAAAACAGTTATTTCCAATGTATAGAAATAAATAGGTCAAAGGCATGTTCGTGCTTGCAGACGGACGAACGGACGCTCCCCCAGTGGTTACGATGAAAGGATCGAAGTATGTAAGAGAATATATCACTGGGGCGTATCACTGGGTTTCACCACGTATCACTGTGCGCAAGTAGTAGTAGGTGGTAGATAGGTAGTAGGTGTACCCAGTGTCTCTCGCGGCTCTCTCTCTCACCCGGGACACACCTCAGAAACCAATCTGGTGTCACTTGACCTCAAGGCGGGCCCATTGTCATCTTTATCATCGCACATCATCAGTCTATTGGCCCTACCGGTCGCCCCTCCTCGGCGAAGAGGATATGGCTCTTCGGAAAGAAGATCAATTTTATTGTTTTTCCTCAACTGCTGGCCGAACGTAAATAAAATAATAAATTGAAAAAGTAACGTCCGAGAGTTATCAAAAACCGACCGACCGATCGAGAATTTTTTTTTTTTTTTCTTTTATATATATATACTTTTTTTTATTTATTTATTTTTTTTTTCAGCGAAAGAGACAACCAATCATCCGGAAAGTGCAACGATAGACGTATATTTTATATAATGTAAATTGATCAAGTAAGACTTGGTCCATATATATATAATATGTATATATATATATATATATATATATAAATACGCAAAATGATTTGCGTTTTGCTCGTCTCCCAACATTTCTTTGAATAGAATTTTTCTTGGCTTAGTTTTGCAACATCTCGAATGCGTCCTGGTATTTCCCACATCGCTTGCACACTTTGCACACTGCCCTTGGCAACGTATATGAATCTTCTTCTCCGTATGGTTTTCCTTAGCCTTGTTTCTTCGTGCGAAGAAAGCACAGAACGTCTACGATGCGTGAGTTATATTATCCTCTACTAGTATTTCTTTATCTGTAAAATATATGCTCTTCCATAGATCATCTCTATATAACGATATATTCCTTATCGTGAAAAATACTCTTCTTTTTCCTTCTCTTGCAGCTCCTCTTATATCTCTGTTTGATGTAACTTTTGCGCGCGCGCGTGTCTTTTTTTATTAAAGTATCGACCTCGTATCTTGCGTTGAAATGTTCATCCATATCTAAGAGATCTCATTTTGAATGCCACAGACTTACTTGATCAAAATGTACATCTTTGAATACGAGAAAGAGTTCTTTCATGTGTAATCGAACATAAAAGCGATAAAAGAAAAGCAAATATAAAATATTAATACTAATGCAGAAAGTAAGTTTGGTTCGACTCGGGATAGAAAATACAGAGCCTTGTGTTATGATATAACGAACACATCGGGTGCACTGCTCTATCTGGAACCTCGAGTAGCAATCAAACTCACGTTGAAGTATTTATAAGTATGAAAATTGTAAATATACAGCTTACCTGCCAACTGACACGACTTGATAGATTCTCCACGGTGAGGCGATACTCGGTGCGTGTTGGTGGTCCATATCTAAAAAAGGAAAATAAATTGGTATTATCTGCATGACTCTTTTAAAATAAGCAGGTTTGTCTTGGACCTGACTTTACATTAATATAGCGAAAAATTTAACGAAAAACGCAAGAATGACGAATAATGCAATATTACAATAAAAATTGAATAAATAAAGATGTATCTTTAGAGCGTAACATTGGATGTATGTACCTGGGCAATGATTGCTTGTAGCTAGATGCAGTCCTCGTGTTTCTGTTCACACTATCTCTGCAAAAAGGGATCTTATGTGAACAGAAATAACGGATCGATGGTAAAACCTTCAGCAAATAACTACAGATTTGCACTCATTGCTCAGGCACACAATCAATCACCTGTTCCAATCGAATCAAATCTACTCAAAATGCAGCAATAGCGTACCTGTCGTGCCGCATATCGTCTCGGCTGTAACAAACACAATACCACACATCTATTAGTCGCCAATTATATTCTTTCATCCGTCTCTGTCTTACGCACACTCTTCCCTATCTCGTTCGCTTCACACAAGCATACCACATACATACATATTCATACAACATACCATCTCTTTTTTTTATCAGCCTTTTTGTCCATCTATTGGTCTAGTCGATTTGATAGTCTGTCGTCTGTCAGTTTGTCATTATTTTCTAGTTTTTTTGTTTTAAATTAATTCATTCACTCTATCATTCTTACCCTCTCTTTCTCTCCCACGCTCTCTAATTCTCTTCTTTATCTACGAGCAATAAACATAATGTCTGGGAGGGTATCACTAGGCATTATGCTATATTACGTGTGCACACTAGCATCAAAGCGATTATTCGACGTACTCGGGAGAGCAGTCAAATCCAAGACAACCGATTTAAAAAAGTTGAAATTATTGACTAAACGAATTTAAAAAAATTTTTTTCTTTTTTTTTTTTCTTTTTTTTTTTTAAGAAGCACAAATGTAACTTTATGTAATAACGCGCCACTGTTTGTCACTATGCTCTCTAAATTAGAGCTTATCATATCCAAGGTTACGTTCTTCCCTGTACGGGCTATGTGCGAAATCGTTCATTATTGTTAGTTAGTGAAAAAGTAATAAAGCTTGAGAGAAAAAAAGAAAAAGAAATATAAATACGAAAAAGAAAAAGACTTGTTATATACGTATATAAATGTGTATATAAATATATACAAGGAAAAAACTGCAACGTATTCAAAAGCCAAGGCTTAAAGGCTTTTCGAGATTTCGCACATTTTGAGTTGACTGCCTGCAGGGGAGGAGGGGATTATGATCGCTCTGATAAAATAAAAAAAAGGATAGCGTGTCTTACGCAGATCGCCTCGAGTCCCCATAACCACCACGGGAGTCACCATAGCGCCACTGGTCACTACCCCTAGGTGTCCCCCGGGCCCTCTCTACAGTAATTCTGTAACAAGACACATTGGATATGCTTACTTGTCTCTCCAGGAGCGTGAGCGTCCGTAGCCACGGTCGCCTCGCCTCCCTGAAACACCCCGTGCTATCTCCACCGCCACTCTGAAACACACCCAACAAAACCCCGCCTAAGTCCTCAACTAATTCTTACTCTAAGGCTGCTTCCTTCCTTCCTTTTCTTTCCATTCCTCAGCCTTCTCTCGATATCCGTTCAATTATAATCCAACTTTCCCTTTTCTCTCTCTATCGTCCAGTCTCTGAGGCGCTGTCCCCTTTCACGCTTCTCTCCGTCCCCCTATAATTCTAACTGCTTTTTCTTCTAATGCAACTTATGGCCGATCTAAGTTCTTCACTTTTTAATCATAAGGCTTTCTCGTAATTAATCGTGATCCATTGTCCATAATGCTATGATGTTTAGTCCTCGAGATATTTTGCTTTTCCTTTTTTTTTTTTTACACCATTGTTCAGGATCACAAAGAAATTATGAAAAAGCATATCTAAAGTCTTAATCTATATTCGTCTGTTCTATAATATCATGCGATATGCATTACTCAAAGGCTGATGCATGTAGGAAGAACTTTATAATCGGGGAATTGATGGAAGTTGTTCAAAATGGCGGCAAATCACATCGGCTTTTAAGATGCACTCTTATTATGGAATAAATCCAATTAATAAGTTGGAGGACAGACGCCGTTTACTGAAGATGTAAGCTTATAAGCAAAAAATCGTCCAATGAGACAAAATAATTACAATTATATGCCTGTATTTTGCATTATGCAGAAGCAATAGCACATTGTTTCTATATAAAATATTGTTTTAATTATTAATGACTTTTTCAAATTAACTTCATTTTAATCAATTTTAATGCCATTGCTTCTTAACATGAATTCATCTATTTTGATACTACAACATTAGCACACAAATGTACAAATTTTATATGATCAAGTTCATATTATATTACATACTGAGTAATTTTTTAAATATTACTAAAAATGTTTAATAATTTAAAAAATTTACATATATATTACTTTTAAAAAACTGCTAATGTTGTAGCTGTTTATATATATATATTGTTTATATAGAAGATACATATATTACCAGAAATATAATTAGATGTAACTTGAATGACGTTGATTATGATAAATTCAAGACGTGTAACAGTTAAAAAAAATTATTAAAGAATATTGAAGCTGTAGTATTTATATAAGTATTTGTCTTAAAAAGTTTTCAAATATAGGAACTTCAACAATTGTTAGAGAACAGAATTATATTTAAAAATAATTCATTCGTGCAAATTATGTCACCTTCACCTCTAATTAATAATTAATTTAAATTTATCGTGCTTGCTTTTAAGTACACTCATAAGAAGATGACTACTGCTGTGTCTATTACCTTTCTCCTAATAGCTCTTTTCCATTTAGTTCATATACAGCATCATCGGCATCCCTGTAGTCGTCAAATTCCTGTGAACAAGTTATATTTATTGATAATGACTAATACAATATTTCCTCTTGTTATTTCGAGATGGTACAATTTTGTGAAATTAAATACTTGTAACATAATTTTTATTTGAAATTAAATAGAAATATTATTTATATCTGTAGTTTATAAATGTAATTCCATAATATTCAAATTGAAATTCTAACTAATATTATGATACTTCAAATTCGAAATTACTATTAAATAAATTTGTAAAAATTGAATCTATTTTTAACTTCTTCTTTCTATCCATAACTTACAAACTCTTTGCAGAATAATCGACGAAAAGTCTTCCACTCCACTAAACAGCCATAGTGCAAAGCTCGGGACTCAGGTCAGGTCTCATTAACTCAGACAACTGAGTTATATTTATAACTTAACACATTAAACTCTTTTTGGCCCAGAAAATTATACAAACTTATAGAAAAAAAATAAAAAACAAATAAATAAATAAATGTACTTCAACACAAACTAATTCCATTTATTTTCTATATATTATCAAATGTAAAATAATATATTTGCTATAAAATGTGAAATATTAGAAAATAAAGATAAATGAAATAACACATTCTAATTAAATATCACATTCAAAGAAATATCTAATTTTAATAAGATTTTATTATTTTGGACCAAACTGAGCAACAAAGTGTAAGAATTTCTATGTTTTACTTGATATGTGTACTTACAACAAAACCATAACCATTCTTGATAAGGACATCCCGGAAACGACCGTAGCCTCTGAAAAATCTCTCAAGGTCTCTTTCCCTGGTACCGTATGGAAGTCCCCCAACATAGACTCTTGTCCCTACCATACTGTAAAAAAAACAATTGTACCTCATTAGACTTACCACAAAGGCAAATCCATTCTTCATAGCGACCTCCTTGATTCTACCATATTTCCGGAAGAACTTCTCAAGGTCGCGCTCTCTCACCCGGTATGTTAATCCACCAACGAATACTCGGGTGCTCATTCTTAAAGGAAAATATAAAAACACCATACATAACAGGCTTCTTTAAAAACCTGCTATTTATTCATATGACAATACAAAGACTGTAAAAAATATCTTTTTCCTTTTGTCTTTTTTTTTTTGTTTTTTATTTATTTATTTTTTTTTTTTATTTCAATTCTGACTGAGAACTGCAAACTGTTATTTTCATATGATGCTTTTAAAAATTAAGCACCCCAATTTCTTTGTTCAGTGTCCTACCTTAACGAATTTGTCGTACAGGTCTCTCACTTTACAAACATAGTCCCGTTTGCTTTACACAAGCACAAACTTGTTACACTAAAGAAGTACAGACACTACAGAAAAGTTATTCACAAAGCAGTTCATATACGATGATATAGATATATAAAATGATTATATACCAGTTTGCATAAATAAACATGTTATGTATGTGCTATTTTATCATATATATCGCATTCTCCATTACTCAGCATATTGATGAGCGAATATTATTTTAGAGTATAAAAGTGAATAATGTTTAAGTACTTGAATGCTTGATTATTATTTACTTATATACTCTTGTTTCATATTATTAAAATTTGTCGATGATAAAAGATTAGGCGGGAACGCAAGTACCGTTAATCAAGTTATCGTACATAGTAGTAGTACTTTCAACGTAACGGTACATATCTCGGTTCTTTTTCTTCGATACTAGAATTATATATATACACACACATATGTATCTATTTTAATATACAGATACGAACGATCACAAATATGTGGTACGTACGTCATACTAGAATGGTTTACAAATAATCGAAGTCAGTTTAAAATCTCCAGAAGAAGTAAACAAAACATTAATTGCGTCTGTGTTCCTGTTGCAATCATGGCTACGAAAAAAAATCTACGATACTATTAACAAAAGGAAAAGAAAAAAAAAGAAAAAAAAAGAAAAAAAAAAAAAAGAAAAAAATAAACTTCATCATACCATTACTTGGACATCGGATACGAAATAATTGACAAACTAAGCTTAAATGCCAATAAAAAAAAACAATATTAAAAAAATATTAACGATTAGTATTCGGTAAAATATCGAACATGGCAATAAAGAAGAGGCAAGATCAGCAATAGCTATGTATATCGGCGAGCATAAGGTCGAAATAATTGGAACGAATTGTCTATTTCATTAATTTGTTACGTTCAATGTTTAAAAAGAAAAGAAAAATATATTAACTTACCTGAATATTAATGGAATGAACTATTACTTTCTAACACGGATCTCAAGCAATTTTTACGATACAACGCCACTGAAATTACTGGAAGAAGTAATGATCGGCGTCTGAAGCGAGACGGTTCGTTGTAACAACGGAAACAAAACGGGGTTCGCATAACGGAAAATGAAGCTACACCCAACCTATAACCTCGACGACAGACACCAACATCCGGTTAACGATATAATTAGCGCCACTTTTCTACCTTAATATTCAAATATAATAATAATTTAATAGAAAAATAAAAATGTATTTTATTAAATGTTTATTATGAAATTAAATATTGTTCGTAAAAATATTATTAACTTGTCTTAATTAGAATTAATTCTTTACTTTATTACTGCGTCATATGATTGAATATACTTCCTTCTTATTATAAGATTATCAATCTTTTATTATTTGATATTTCTTTATTCATTTCTCATTAGTTTATTAATTATTATATTTTTATTATACAAAATATGAAGAAAAGAAATCAATTATCTGTTTCATAAAATTACGGAAACGTATTCAATGTTCAAGGACATACGTAGTATGAAACAAGCGCGAAATTCAATCCATAGAAAGTTATGAATAAAATGAAAATTATTTTAATAGAAGCTTCCTCAAAAAGAAGACAATATTAAAAAGATATATTTTCAATATATTTCAATTATATTATTATTCAAAATCAATAAACTATGTATCATCCATAAAAAAGATATTGAAATACGATAAAGTAGTTTTGACGATCGTATATAAAAAAGATGGCTATAGAGGTCGGTAAGGTATACCAGGTTTCTGGAAAGATCGATTCTTTGTGAAGTTATAGTATATCTAATGAAGAAACATCATATATTGTCGATTTTATATACGATTATCGACTTTTATATGAAAGTGTATGACATATGATAAAAAATGTAACTTTGTTAAAACCTTCTTTCTCTCGTTTTTACCAAATCTTTATTACAGCTTGTCCATGGTCAAGAATCACCGACATGTCGATTAAATTAGCGCCATCTACTGAAAACAAAAATGGTGGCTAACAATATGCCCTATCCCTGCCCTGGTTTTATGGCACGGCAAATGTCTGCGTTCTCTAGGCTTCTTTCTATTATGCATTTCCCTTCAACCGACATATCCAATTTTAATGTGAAGAAGGGGAATCATTACCTTGCTGTTGATTCTATATCACGTGTGAAATAAACGAAGCTCTTCTAACCAAACAGAAGGTGATCCAAAACTATCGAATATTTCGCAAAATTATAACCGCATCTATGCAATTCGTCATGTCATTCGCCTTATATAATGAAATTAGCGACACACGATCTCTGTGCGTAAATAATACGCCTTTAATATGTTCTGTCCATTACAGGAAATTACAAAAATACGTGTAACGTTGTGGCAATACAGTAAGGGGTAAACGCATAGTTGTTTCTCCTAAAGCAAAACGGAAAAAGAAATCTTATTTTGCTACATGAATCTACAAGTTACCTAAATATTTTTTATGGCTACCGAAAATGCTATGATGCAGAATCATCAATAGTACTTATATTATATACACTGAAATGCAAAATAACCACAGAGATTTGTATAGGGTTTGTACAGAAATATATATATGCATATAAATTAGATAAAATATTTGCATTATCTTGCTACCTGTTTTTTTATCTTGCTCTTCAAGAAATGCAGAAATAGAATTAGAGTTATATAGACGGTTAATGATATTCCATACATTTATTCAATAAAGTAATTTTATTTTTAAATATATTCATAGATAGTTGTATATTCTTATAAAAGAAATTTATGAAATATTAATATTTTGTCAATTCTAACTTGTGTATTATTATCATAGAACGTTGGATTTTATACGGATTGGTAATGACAGATAGAACGGGTACAATGAGGCTAGAAGCTGAAATGGCTGCTCCATTGCATTTGCAAAGATTAGAACGTAGCTTGAATATTCAACCATTCTTAAGGCAGATTGATGATCTGTTTCAAGAGCATGCTAGGTATGATTTTATTTTTTTAATTAGCGTTTAATATAAGAACATTATATTCATTATTCTTCTATTTTATTGTAGCGAAGATGACAAGTCCATGTCTTCTGATTCCTCTGACGGATCTGATGCTTATCTTGATGATGTACTGACACGGAAAGAAGGTATTAATATAATATTAAATTAAAAAAATTAATATTATATTCATTTACTGTTTAAATATTTGACATTGAGCTTAAAAACTGTTTCTAGAAGAAAGAATCAATAAATTAAGATTGTATAATATGTCAAGCGTGGGTGAAGAAAGAAGGTGGCTGCAAGACATATTGTTGAGTGATTCTGAAAGTTCAGCGTCTGGTTCTGATACAGATGGTCCTATTACGGAAGAAGATTTTCAAGAAATGCTTAAATTTCATATATTGCGTAAAAAATATCAAGGACGTTTTTATCAAAAACCTGAAGTAAGATTTGAAATAAGTAATGTAATAATATATATATTGAATGATAATAGTAAAGTGATTTTTTTTTTTCAGAATATACAGTATCAATATTATAGTGCCGGTTTATTATCTAGTTACGATAGATTTTTAGAACATCAAAAATTAATAGTTGGCAATAAAAAAAAGAAAGATAAGAAACCAGAGAAAAAAGTTATGAAAATTAAGAAAGAAAAAATTCCTCGCCATAGACCATCTGAAGATTATCATGTATGCATAACCTCATATTTATTGCTCTAATATTTATTAAACTATCTATCATATAATAATCAATAAATTATTTAGGAAGGTGATTATTTGGATGAAGAATGGGATCGTACGATACCTAAAGAGGAAGAATTAGATGAAGCTGAATTGGAAGCAATAATGCGACATCAGCCTCGTCCACGAGGTCGCAAAAAACATAATAATAAAAGTCCTGAGGTCATGGCAATTAGAAGAAGAAAAATATGGGTTATGATGTCTAAAAAGGAACTTGGAAAAGTGCAAAGAGCAAAAACTAATAATCATAAGGAAATGTTAATAAGTTGTAAAAAAGTAGCTCAACATTGTATGAAATATTGGAGACAAAAAGCAATGCAGGTAAAATATAATTTATCTTATTATTATACATTGTTATTTTCATATTGTTATCATATATAAAATCATTTTACAGTCACAAAAAAATATGAAAGAAACTATTTGGAGAGCAAAAAGGTTGACAAGGGAAATGCAATCTTATTGGAAAAGATATGATCGTGTTGAGCGAGAAACAAGGAGAAGATTAGAAAAAGAAGCCGAAGAACAACGTAAAATGGATGTTGAACTTATAGAGGTGGTGTAAAAATATTATTGATTAATCTATCCTTATAATATGAAATGATTCATAATATTTATTTCACGACAGGCTAAGCGCCAACAAAGAAAATTAAATTTTCTTATTACTCAAACTGAATTGTATGCCCACTTTATGTCTCGGAAATTAGGAAAAGCTTCTCCAGAAGAACAACTCAGAATTTTAAATCAATTAGATGAAGAGAAAAATCCTAGACTTATTGGAATAGATGACTACGATAGGTACATCATTTAATAATTACTTTAAAATAGAAATATTTGATCTATTAATTTTCTTTGAATTAAAAAATATAGTGAAGCTATGAAACAGAAAGCAAAGAAAAATGCTACTGAGGCATTTGATAATGAAAAAGCAAGAACAAAACAATTTGATACAGCAGCTGCATCCCAAGAATTACGTCTTAGTGATACACCCGAAAATTTAGAACATCCTCAACCTACTATTTTTAAAGGAAATCTTAAGGGCTATCAATTGAAAGGAATGAATTGGTTGGCCAATTTATATGATCAGGTCTGTTTCACGTTAAGTTAGAATATACAAATTGCTAAAATATTTAAAAAATTTTTAATACATATATATCTTCAAAATTTGTAATTAAATAATTAGGGAATTTCTTTTTGTAGGGCATCAGTGGAATTCTAGCTGATGAAATGGGATTAGGAAAAACTGTTCAATCTATAGCTTTTTTGTGTCACGTTGCTGAGAGATATTGTGAGCATATTTAAAATAAAAATTAAGAGTTTTATTTTTTTCTGATATGTAAATAAATTGGAAATAACAATTTACAGCTGTATGGGGTCCATTTTTGATTATTTCACCAGCTTCTACTTTGCATAATTGGCAACAGGAGATGGCAAGATTTGTACCAGTTTTTAAAGTTGTACCATATTGGGGAAATCCACAAGAACGAAAAATTTTAAGACAGTTTTGGGATACTAAGGATTTACATACAAAAGAAGCATCATTTCATGTAGTAATAACAAGTTATCAATTAGTTATTACTGACTATAAATATTTTAATAGAATAAAGTGGCAGTATATGATTTTAGACGAAGCACAAGCAATAAAAAGCACTAGCAGGTATGTTATACTGAATTAGAGAGATTTAAAAAAGTATATGAATAATGGAAAAACTTTGTAATTTATTATACATTTTACGTATTTTCTTTCCAGTATGAGATGGAAGTTATTGCTTGGATTTAGTTGTCGTAATAGATTACTATTAAGTGGTACACCTATACAAAATAGTATGGCTGAATTATGGGCTTTACTACATTTTATAATGCCGACTTTATTTGATTCCCATGACGAATTTAACGAATGGTTCTCTAAGGACATTGAAAGCCATGCTGAAAATAAAACTGGAATTGATGAAAGTAAGTCATTACTTCGCTTTATAATTACTTTTAAAGATTAAAATTTCTATTTGATGTCACATGATCTAATAAATTTTCTTCTACATTTCTATTGATTAGAGCATTTATCGAGATTACACATGATCTTAAAGCCATTTATGTTACGAAGAATTAAAAAGGATGTTGAAAATGAGTTGTCTGATAAAATTGAAGTAATGGTATATTGTCCGCTTACAACACGTCAGAAATTACTTTATTCAGGTGTGTTAATTTTTTTTATATTATAATTAATTTGTTATATTATTTTATGTAAATCCACTTTATAGTGATATATTATTTTTGTTTTTTATAGCATTGAAGAAAAAAATTCGTATTGAGGATTTACTTCATTACACAGTTGGCGGTGGTGATACAACTCCAAACGACAAAAATTTTACTTCCAATCTAATGAATCTAG